CGACTCTGGTAACGGGGGTGGGGGAGGGAGGGGCTGTTTTTAATCTGCATTCCCAGAGCAATGTTTGTACTTGCAAGTCTGAAACCCTCCAGGAACCCCAGGGGCTTTGTGTATGCTTCCACAGAGGCTTGTGCTGTCCTGGTGCTGGTGTGCAGAAAATAAATTGGGGGTCATGAAGCACCAGGAAGTTTGTTTTTAAGCTGGAGGTTTCTGAGTAAATACAGGTATCACCTTTCTCTTCCTTCCTCATCTTGCTTGTGACAGCACCACCCACAAAGCTGGAGACCCAGCACATCTCTGGTGATAACCTCTCGGGCTGCTCATTTTACAAGCTGTATGTAAGGGCTCTGATCCTGTTTTTGTTCCTTCCTGTCTCTTGTACAGCCTCCCCGGATCTTCCCAACATGATGTGTCTCTCTTAAGTGTCTGCTCATCCACCCTCATGTCTCCTCCCATGGCTGACGTCTGTGGTAGGATCTTCATTGCTGCTACATCTGAAAAGACCAGAAGTTCACTTGGTTCACATCTCACTCCCTTCTGCTGAGCTAGGAGGTCTTGAGGTCCAGTCCCTTCTCCAGCTTCTAGTTTTATCCAATGACAGAGGGTTTCCCAGGCTGGGGGATGCATGCAGGAGCACTGTGGGCTTCCCTGTTTTTGCTGGACCACAGGAAGCCACCGAAGAGTTTGGAAGGCAGCTGAGTCTTCTGGATCCACGCCTATGAATCTGGCAAAATGACTTCTGACCGAGCAGGAACCAGGTTCCTTGGGATGTCTGACCACACAGTTCACATTTTGCCAGCTGGAAAATTAATTCCTTGGCCCATCATTCCCTTGGGGTCGGGGCTGTCTGGCTTCAGACCATGGATGGTGCTTCAGGCAAATCTGTATGAAATGGAAGTCTGACTGCAAAATTCCAAGTCCCAAGTCACTGATAGGGAGACTGCTGGGAAACAAATACCTTCCTTTAAGAATGATCTGCTGGTCCAGCTTCAGGTGTAGCAGGGACTGTCACAGAATCACAGAATGGTAGGGGTTGGAAGGGACCTCTGGAAATCATCTAGTCCAACCCCCATGCTAAAGCAGGTTTGCCTAGAGCAGGTTGCACAGTACTGCATCCAGCTTCAAATGTAGCAGGGACTGTCCTACTGTGCGTGCATAGCACAGTGGGAAATCATCTTCCATGCTGGGATGTAGTATCTCTTCATCTAGTAACAAGTCTTCCCAGCGGCCAGGAAGATCTTCCCATCTGACCCAATGATCCTCATGGGTCCCTTCCAACTTGAGATATTCTATGATTCAGTGTCGCTGGGTACGCATCGCTTTTTAAAGCCCAGCAGGGCGAATAATCATTGAGAATAATAGGTTGGGGATACCATGGAGGAAAACTGAGATGCTTCAGTCCCTGTCATTAGTAAAATGGAGTTAGTCTGGTCCTCAGCCCATGAAAGTATCCACCCACTGCTTGGTAGAAAGAAGTAAGGAGGAT